ACCAACTCATCTCGAAGTGCTTCTAGAGTCTGAGGAGGACGTTGCAAATTGAGCAATCTTCTACCCATCATACACGTGCTCAATTGGGGATAAGTCGGGAGATCTTGGTGGCCATGGTAACAATGTGACACCATTATGTTGAAAGAAGTCTATTGTGACTCTTGCAACATGTGGTCGGGTATTATCTTGTTGTAAAGTTGGATCTGCCAGGGTGTCAAGATAGGGTAAAAGATGGGGTTCTAGAACTTCGTGGATATTACGCTGTGCGATCATGTTACCTCTGATGAAGATTAAATGTGACCTGGAACCATAAGCTATAGCACCCCAAACCTTAACTCCAACAGTGTGATGAACATGTCTTTCAACAAAAAACTGTGGATTCCTCCTTTCACCACGTCGCCTTCTAACCCTGGCACGACCATCGTGCATGCCTAAACAAAATCGAGACTCGTCACTAAAGACAATACTGTTCCATTCCTGATCCCAGAGTGACCGTTGTCTGCACCACTCAAGGCGATTACGTCGGTGTTCTCGAGTTAAAGGGAGGACCCAGTGTGGCCGGTATGAAAACAAGCCAAAACTTCTCATTCGTCGGTAAACACTTCGCATGCCAATAGGTCTTCCGTGTTCTGCAAACCATTCATTTGCAATGGACCTGGTAGTGGAGAACCGGTCCCTTAAGGCCAATAATCTTAGGCGGCGATCTTCACGGTGGCGTCCAGTGCCCCTTGCTCTTTGCGTACGGCCTTCTCGAAGTCATGCCTGACAACACCTAACCACAGTGTCTACACTTATTTGCACTCTAACTGCAATTGCCCGAAGAGAAAGTCCAGCTTCCCGAAGTTCCCCTATACGGCCCCTATCAAACTCACTAAGTTGACGAAATGGTACAGGTCTCCGTACTCTAGGCATCGTAACCGTTCGTAAAGGATGTCAAGAACCAAAATCCGCCAACGTTGATTCTTTACTGCGGCTGAAATATTCATTTTTAGAGCGTTAGTGAATTAAAAAAAAAGCAGTATAAAAACCGGAATGTCCAACTGATAAGGCTGAAAATTTTTTCACTTGTTATTTACAGTAAGATAAATACATTCACCAACTTTTATTAAAATAAAACCATTTAAACTGGGTGTTCGGATTTATATGTCACTTAGTATAGATAGCGTATCATAACAGGCTAACAACTAGGATAAGAAAGTGTTTAGTATTAAGATAGGTGTGCTTATTTCATTCCTATTTAAGATCTTCCAGTGTACTACATCTACAGAGGGTCTACTTTGTGCTGAACATATCCTTTATGAACTGATACAGTGATAACGGCGTTGCGATGGAAGTGCAGAGTCAACCTGCTTGATGCCATTTTTCATAGAAAGTCTTGTTTCCGTACCTACTGCTTCTATCGATTTGTACTCTAGTCGATCTCCAAAAAGTTCTACAGAACCTAAAACTTGAACATGACGTTTTTCAGGTCACTAATCTGATCTCCTGTCAGATCCACTACATTTGTAAGCTAGTATTAGAGCAAGACTGATTTTAGCAAAAACGGCTCTTTACATCGATGTCAATACCGGACCTGATCAATTTCTTTCAAGAAAAAGAGGACAATACCGTCTTAAGGAAATTAATTTGACCTTTCATGGCTTTACTATGAGAGTCTTATATATATCACCAGGCTACTTAATAACAAATCTTTGATTTATAGTCCCAGGAGATCATAGTTGTTATTTGCTGTCTTATGTAGCCATTTGGCACGGGTTCCGTTTCACTTTAAATATGTTTGATGGTACAAGAGAGAAAGAAAGCTTTCACTACACAAAAGTGTTATTCGGGAGTACAATAATTAAGCTAAATTACTCATCCAGATGCTGCATGGCGCAGATGTTTTACGAGGAAATTTTATGTACGTTTACGATTTCCTTCCTCCATCAGTTAATTCAAAATAGCCAGGTCAATCGTTTTCTTTGAAGTCATTTGAAAAGTGTACATTAAAAACCGTAGAATATAGATGTTCAATATTTTTATATCCTCGACAGAAAGTTATGACTTTATTTGAAAATTTGTCTGATGTTCAAATCACCATGAAGGTCACGGTCTGGTTCATTGGCGTACCTGAACACACAGTTTCTTGCACTTTTTATTTACGGTGTCAAAGATAGATGTTTCCATTAGTCTTGATCTTCAAATCGGCTTGAAGGTCATGGACATGGAGGAAACTCTTCAACGCAACATTTTTCTTTTTGAAAAGTATTTTTCGAGATATACTAAGTGACATATAAATCCGAGCACCCAGTTTAAATGGTTTTATTTTAATAAAATTTTGTATAAGTACTTAATGAAGCATAATAAGTAAATGATAAAAATTTCAAAATGATTGCACTGCTTTAAAGCCCTTTGACCTTTAATAATGTGTGTATGCACCCTGATGTGCTACGCATTCTCCAACGCGCCTAGGCATGCTTCTGATCAGGTGGTCAATGTCCTCCTATGGTATCTCATTCCAGGCAACCACCAACTCCTCTCGAAGTGCTTCTCGAGTCTGAGGAGGACGTTGCAAATTGAGCAATCTCCTACCCATCATATCCCACACGTGCTCAATTGGGGACAAGTCGGGAGATCTTGGTGGCCATGGTAACAATGTGACATCATTATGTTGAAAGAAGTCTATTGTGACTCTTGCAACATGTGGTCGGGTATTATCTTGTTGGAAAGTTGGATCTGCCAGGGTGTCAAGATAGGGTAAAATATGGGGTTCTAGAACTTCGTGGATATAACGCTGCACGTTCATGTTACATCTGATGAAGATTTAAGGTGACCTGGAACCATAAGCTATAGCACCCCAAACCATAACTCCAACAGTGTGATGAATATGTCTTTCAACAAAAAACTGTGGATTCCTCCTTTCACCATGTCGCCTTCTAACCCTGGCACGACCATCGTGCATGCCTAAACAAAATCGAGACTCGTCACTAAAGACAATACTGTTCCATTCCTGATCCCAGAGTGACCGTTGTCTGCACCACTCAAGGCGATTACGTCGGTGTTCTCGAGTTAAAGGGAGGACCCAGTGTGGCCGGTATGAAAACAAGCCAAAACTTCTCATTCGTTGGTAAACACTTCGCATGCCAATAGGTCTTCCGTGTTCTGCAAACCATTCATTTGCAATGGACCTGGTAGTGGAGAAACGGTCCCTTAAGGCCAATAATCTTAGGCGGCGATCTTCACGGTCTGTTGTTCTACGGCGGCGTCCAGTGCCCCTTGCTCTTTGCGTACGGCCGTCTCGAAGCCATGCCTGACAACACCTATCCACAGTGTCTACACTTCTTTGCGCTCTAACTGAAATTGCCCGACAAGAAAGTCCAGCTTCCCGAAGTCCCACTATACGGCCCCTATCAATAAGTTGACGAAATCGTACAGGTCTCCGTACTCTAGGCATCGTAACCGATCGTAAAGATGTCAAGAACCAAAATCTGCCAACGTTGATTCTTTACTGCGGCTGAAAGATTCATTTTTAGAGCGTTAGTGAATTAAAAAAAGCAGTATAAAAAGCGAAATGTCCAACTGATAAGACTGAAAATTTGTTCACTTGTTATTTACAGTAAGATAAATACATTCACCAACTTTTATTAAAATAAAACCATTTAAACTGGGTGTTCGGATTTATATGTCACTTAGTATATTTTGTCCGTTCCGTACTTTATGAACGCCCTCCAACACCCATGATGGTCATGGTTTTTGATAATCGGAAAAGGCATACTCCACATGACCTCGTATACCAACGAATAAACCTTTTCAAACTTTGCAGCTTTGTTCTACAACATTTTTCGAGATACTGCGATCTGTCCGTACTTTTTGAACTCACTTTTATATCTATACTTGGTCTGTAAATTGAGTGATGAGAGTGGCAATGTAGCTTTCAATCTGGCAACACTGAAGGCGCCAGGCGTGGAAGGGAGACAGAGTAACATGTGATCCTCCCTCAGTAGTTTGTACTCGCTCGAGTGATTTAGTGGTCCCTAGTGATTTTTTTTAAAACAGTTTTTTCGATTGTGTTCTAAAAATGAGTGACATTAATTTCGATCAGCGGTGTGCTATCAGGCTTTGCTTCAGACTTGGGCACAGCGCGACGAAAACTTTTGCTCAACTTCAGCAGGCCTGCGGAGTACTTTATCAAGAGCCCATCTTTAAGGCAGTTTCAGAAGGGAGAGAGTAGATTCAAGATGAACCACGAAGCGGGAGGCCTTCTTCAAGAATCAATGAAAATATCGACAGAATCCGGGATCTTCTGCCTTCAGATCGTCAGTTGACAGTCAGAACTATCGGATAAGAGTTAAATTTGTCTCACCAGATCGAGAACAACTGGGTGTTGCATCACGTTAATGCTCCTTGTCACACAGCAGTGTCGACGAACGAATTTTTGGCCAGCAGAAACTGACCTGTGGGTCTTCAACCTCCTTATTCACCAGACTTGAGCCCTGGTGAATTTTTTCTCTTACCAAAGTTGAAAAATCGCCCCATGCGAACTCATTTTGGGACAGTCTAAGAGATTCAAATGGCTATAACCGACCAGCTGAGGGCTATTGTTGTTCCAGCATTGGTATGAGTTGTGGAAGAACCATCTCCAACGCTGTGTGGCTTCAGAAGAAAGTTATTTTGATTGACAATATAAAATTGTAATTATGTTGAAATTAAAAAAATCTGTCTCATCACTTAATTTACATACCTATATCTAGCCACATACATATGTTTAAAAGTCCTCTTTATTGTACGACGTTTTCAAGGACAACTGACATAAAACAGTAGGGATTATCTTTACTAAAGAGTTGCAGATTGTAGTTTTTCTTTTTAACACGGTGATTTTATAACGCAATCTGCGATAGTTTAATTGTTAAAGCCATACGTCACGCAGATGCAATCAATTGCCAATGTAAAATTTTGCATATTTTCATCGCATGCTTAGGAATGATAACGTAAATTTTTACTAACTTATTCTCTTTGTTTACAGATATGACCGCTAATGCACCCAGAGCTGATTCCTACAGTGATGTCAACTTATCAGACGACGAAAGCACACCTCTCACAGAAAACATTTATGGAGGAAGGTAAGTGTCAACCTTAGACTACAGCCGCCTGATGATGTTATTTATACAGGGTGACAGGTAAATAGGAGGTGATAGTACAGCTCCTTTGCTATCAAAATTAGTATATAATACCCTATATTCAAAGGTTAAAAAGTTATGGAAGATTTAATTTTTTTAAAAAAACAACCCAGATTACAGAGTAAAATAGTTGAGATAAAAAAAAGTTGGTGATTAAACATTCTTTTTTTGGTGGTTTCTGGTCATTATTTAAATAAATAATTCTCATAAATTAAAAAACATATGAAATCACTACTGAAAACGTATTTATTTTCACTTAAATAAAAAATTTTATTTTCAACTTTCACATTAAGGAGTCTTTTTTTTCATAAAAATCATAATAAAGAAATAGTACAAATAACTGCAAAAACTTCCTCGTTTCATTAGGTTTCTAAAATGGTATAATAACATATCAGTAAGTAAACCATTTAACAAAACAATATTACTTTGCTAGAAAGGACCGCTAAGCGCATTTCATTGTACTGAGCAGGTAAACCGAGCCTTTCATGGTTCGACCCTTTTTGTTATTTTTTGTGCCCTGTGCCGTTATTCGGGTTTAAGTATTCGGAATCTGTCGTCGCTCCTCGGAAGCAAGCTCTGCGTGTGTTATGAATTGACACAGCTGACGGAAAGGGAACTAACGCTTAGGTTAGTTAGTAGAATATCAACCTTTACCGCGGTAGGACGTACTTTTACTTTTTTGATCAGTTTTAATAATGGCGAATTACCGTAACGAAGAATACGCTGATATTCTGTTTTGTTATGGTTTAAGTGATGGAAATTCCGTTGAAGCCAGGCGAGAATATGAAAACCGTTTTCCGAATCGGCGAATACCGAGTCATCGAATATTTGCTTCTGTGTACCAACGCGTCAAGGAAAGTGGACAGGTTCATGAGAGACGTCATGATGCTGGTAGACCTCGGTTTTTTGACGACGAAGATCGAGAGGCAATACTGGAATGCTACGGCAGAGACCCGACGACGTCTACACGAGTTATAGCAAAGCAGCTTGGTTTAACTCAGTGGAAAGTTTGGTTCGTTTTGCATTCGGCCAGACTTTACCCTTTCCATAACACACCGGTTCAAGTATTAGAAGAAGGAGATCCCGCAAGAAGAATTGATATTTGTCGATACATGCTTCATCGGGATCAAGAAGTAAACGACTATTTAACTAAAATATTGTGAACCGACGAGTCTAAGTTTGACAGAGAGGGGACAACGAATTATCACAACTTACATAATTGGGCCCCACGAGAGGCAAATCCCCACATCGCAAAGCCAAGAGCCCATCAAAGAAGATTTTCGGCAAACATGTGGATGGGAATCATTCATACGTATCTAATTGGACCAGTTTTTTTGCCTGACAACCTGAATGGCGAATCCTATGAAAACTTTTTGAGATCCGAACTCTAGGAGTATCTCGAAGACCTGCTTCTGAATATCAGGATTCAGATGATCTACCAACACGATGGCTGTCCCGCGCATTTCCGTCTGGGTGTTAGACAGTGGCTGGACGAGAAATATCCTTGTCGCTGGATTGGCCGGGGTGGACCGACACTGTGGCCAGATTTAACACCGTGTGACTATTATTTATGGGGGCACATGAAGTCACTGGTGTACGCTGAGCCCATAGACACTCTTGCACAGTTGAAAGAAAGAATTATTGCTGCTGCTGACACTATAAGAGGACAACTAATTGGCCGCATCACGCGTACCAACATGAGAAAAAGACTACGAGCTTGCATAAGAAACGGCGGGCGTCAGTTCGAACAATAATTGCAATGAATTTTACCTTCATTTCATTATTGTATTTTAGTTACCAATTGTAGTAACTTTTAGTCAGTTTTTATTATTCTGTAGTACATATAAAACTGTGTAAATAATCTAATCGTGTAACTTAACCGTAGTTTAAAATAATAACTATCCCAAAGCTTACAGTTACATTATTTTCACAAAAACACTTTCATATCAATCAGAGAGTTGTGAAAATAGGAGACAAGCCATTGGTAAATTTACTCCCTATTGTTGTATTACAATACATTATGTTTAGTTTCACACAGTTTTTGTGCACTTATACCAATTTAGATTCCTTATGAAACAAGGATATTATTTAAATTGTTTGTACGTTTTTTTGTATACTGATTTTTTTATAAAACACCTTACTTACTCTAAAACGTTATTTGTTTTTCTTAGTTAAACATTTTTGAATGAAAACAAATACGTTGTTTCGTATCGTTTTCGAATCTTTTTTAATTCATAATAGTTAGTTATCGAAATAATAACCCAAAACCACAAAAAACAAATGTTTAATCGGCAACTTTTTTCTCGTCTTTTTTACTCTGAAATATGGATTGTTTTTAAAAAAGTCTTAAATCTTCAATAACTTTTCAACCTTTGAATATAGGGTATGGTATTATATACTAATTTCGATAGCAAAGGGGCTGTACTATCACCTCCTAAAATGTTTTACACCTATTTACCTGTCACCCTGTATAATTTTGGTGGACAGGAAAAGATTATGTTGGAGTTATAATCGTAATTGTAATAATCTAAAATATTACTTACGTCTTGGTAGCCTTTATCAAAGAGCAAATTAAGAAATTAAGCTAAATACTTTGGAGAGGCCGAAACTTATACGGATTTATTATTCAGTGGCCGAAACGACATCGCTATGAAGAAAAGCGGTACTGGATTGGTAAAATACGATGTTGAGTGGGGCTTAAAGCAGAGCAAGCACTTAGAATGGATATAGAAAAGACATCTGTAGAATAGCTGTAATATTGACCTTTCTCTAGAAATTATGTATGCAGAAATGATGTGGAGACAGAAGAAATGACAAAGACGCGATTGTACTGTCCTAGATATAAAAAAGTCTAGAGGTGATAAATCTCACGATCTATTCCGTCATTCGACAGGGCCATTTCCTGATATAACACGTTCACCTAATTTTGGTTTCAATATGTCGATTGTTTCACTATGTGTGGCTTGTGGCACCGTCTTGTTGAAACCTCATACCACTAATGTCTAGCCCATCCAATTGACAAAAAAAATAACGTGTCAACATGTCTGTGTAGCGACCTCCGTTGACCGTAACGTGACGGCCATTTTAATCAACGAAAAAAAAAACGGCCCAATGACACCACCTACATGAAAACCGCACCACACAGTTATTTTTGTGGATGAAGCTGTGTTTCTTGAAGCACATGAGTGTTTTCACTTGACCAATAACGCATATTCTGTTTGTTTAGCCGAAAATGCGCCTCATCACTGAAGATGATTTTGCGATGAAATTGGTCATTTTCTGCAACTCTTGCAAATTTTTTTACTAGACTATGAGTTGCTTGTCTACTTTGACAAGAATTACGACCAATAATTGACGTTAACGCTCTTAAAGTTGCACTCACCGACTCGGAAGCGTTGTTCGTTCGTGTACTTCACCATAATCAACATGTTTTCTTTACTGAATGTTTTAAAATTGACAGTTCGGTAGCTGATTTAAAGGTGCGTTCACAGTGAAAGTTCAAAGTCGTCAAGTCGCTAACCCGATAGTTGTATTTCCCTTTCTATACTTGTTTTCCTTCAGATTACACCCGTATCCAGATATTTACTTCGGTCATATTGCAAACCATTGACTTGTCGCTAAAGACCATCACGCAGTTGTAGATAATTTCATAGATATCAGTTCTCAAACGGTCCACATTTACTCTAGTGCTTATAGTAAGCAAGAAATCCAGGTTGATATCACATTTTTTCTACAGAAACGGCCACGAACTTGTTTTTTCAGCATTTCTGTTGTGATCCCTCACGAAATCATTGCAAATCATCCTAAGGACTAAAGGCGACTTAGTCAGGACATGTAACTTCCACCTTAGTTAAGCTCAACACCGTATTAATTTTTTGTATACGAAGGAACTTTTCTAAATAAAATAGAGTTCTAACACATCTTTACTCCGTAAGCTTTGCTACCACACCCTTCCAGCAGCGCACATGTAGGTATAAATCAGTTGAAAGTCCAAGCAAAACGAGCACGTCTAGTCGCCCGCAGCAATCACACATTTTTACTTTATGTTAGTAGGCACTACAGTATGTTTGTATAGTTGTTCTATACTGCAATTGCTGTTTGCTTTTATGGCCGTTCGCAACGCGGGAGGATTTGTTGATATCGTTGTAAGACAAGAATTCGTTTCTTTATTTGCTCTAGCGGCTTTACGTTGGCGTATCTAATGCGATTCTTACACTTTTGCCGAGGGTAAAATATGCACTGGCATATTGAAGAATGGTTTAAGTTGAAATCAGAAGCTCGCGATATTTTCCGGTCAGTAGTAGGAGGTCGAGGAATTGCGGGAATTATTATTATATAAAAATAAAATATGGCATCAAATAGATTGATTCTATGCTTTCTACGACTTGAGTTAAATCATCTTAAAAAGCGAAATCGCATCGTGCTTATCAAACGATACATATGTATAAAGCATCCCACAAACCGGCGCGAAATATTCGCTTTGGCTGCGAAAATTTCGCGGCGATGAATTCGCGATCAGATTAAAGCGCGGCGGTTTACGGACAGGCTCAGACTTGTGCGAAGCGAATGCGACTGTTCCAGCGTTTTTATCGCGGCGTATTTCAGTTCGCCTTTGACCGCGTTTTTGACGCCGTTCCTCAAAAATTCGCAATGGCAAAAACGGAATTAATGATAGAAATAGTGAAAAAGTATCCTTGTTTGTATGATTTGTCGAACGATGAATACAGGAATGTGAGAAAGAAAGACAAGATTTGGATGGAAATAGGAAAAGAATTAAATACAAATGGTATGTACCTAATATTTTTTATTAACTTGTTAAATAATTTACAGTCTACACAAATGTGAAAACGAACATTCTATATATTGGGCATAGGCACATCAGAATTAAAATAATTTACGAATTTGTCACGAGTAGAAAATGCTAGCCTTGCTGCCCGCCGAGGATCATTTGCTATATCAGTAAAAGCTCCAAGCACGGGTTCTGGGGGATCTAAGAATTGAAAATGTTTGTCATCGCCACTTTTACTTCGTAAAAAATTTTGTAAAACACATGCCGTACTTACAATTAGAATAGTAGTATCTACTTTAGTTTCTAATGGCCTGTAAAATATTCGCCATTTTTGAGACAAAATACCAAACGCATTTTCCACGACCCTTCTAGCTCGATAAAGTCTTACATTGTATTTCTCTTTTCAGACGTCTGTTGAAGTCTGCTTATAAGGAAATGGTCTCATAAGGTATGGTTTTAAAGCAAATGCTTCATCACCAATTAAGACGTACGCAGATTTCATTTTGCCCAAGGAGAAATCTAGGTGCAGGGACACTTATTAAATTTTGTTCAAATCGTTTTCCCATGTTTGAGGTTTCGAAAATACCCCCATCACTATTTTTTCCAAAACCACCAATATCAACACATATAAATTTATAGTCCGGGCCAACAATGGCCATCAGTACTATTGAATATTTATGTAAATAGCACCAGTAATTGGAGCCACTGTTGTTAGGTCTCTTGATTGTTACATGTTTACCGTCCACGCTGCCAATGCAATTGGGAAACCCCATCTATTTTCAAATTCTTCAGCACATTTTTTCCATATATTCTCTGTTGGTTCTGGTAAATATATATGCTCCATATGTCTGCATATCGCTTCACAGACTTCGGTTACGATTGCACTCACTGTTGTAAAGCCAACTCGAAAGCTATGCCCAATGGTATAGAAGGTGTCACCAGTGGCAAGGAATCTATAAAAAAAATCGTTTTTAGGTGATGAAGTAAAAAAAAGGTGGAAGAATATCAGAGACACATTTGCAAAATATATAAAATCTACCAAACCAAAGACCGGCCAAGCAGTGGGCAACATAAAAAAATGGCAGTGGGCTGACTACATGGAATTTTTCCGTCCTTTTTTGGCATTTGCCAAAACGTCGTCTAATATGAAAGATATTGACGTCATACATTATGAGACTGCCGAATTTAATTCAAATATATATCAGGAAAGGGCTGGAAATGTAGAAACCCAAAATTTGGAAGACCGCGGCCATGGAGAAGATGAAAATGCTGATGTAGATGCAGAAGATGCACAGAACGCCTCGGCAACACAGACAGCACCACCTTCTTCATTGAACACTACAGCAGTGACTACTCCAGGGCACACCTTTCCGCAGACTGCAACTACACCAAAATATAAAACGAGCAGAAAACGCTATGAACCACCATCTTCGTCTGTACAACAGCTCATTAATTATTTTGAAGGTAAAAAACCTCAAAAAGAGAACGAGGCCATTGATTCACTTTTCTTGGCACATGCACAGACTGTGAAAACACTTCCCTTAAAGCGTCAAGCCCGAATAAAACTAAAAATAGCCGAATTAATAGCGCACGAAAAATTTGAACATATTGAAGAAATGTCTTCAGCGTCTACCCAGAATTCTGCAAGTATGTATGATAGTAGTATGTCGTCCTTCCCAAGCGGCACTGGGTTTACTCCAATAATATACCCAACAGAGGAGGCAAATTCTGCCTCGAATTATTTAGCAACATTTAATCCTGGTGGCAACATGTCGTCCAATTATTACAATAAAATATTTATTTCACGATCCCTGAAGTTTTCGTATTCGATAAGCCTACTAATTTTAATACATATAATTTTTTTACCTGAGTGTAATAGCAAGTCGTTCTTCCGGCGAAATAGCTTCACGATAATTTGTGTCAGATTTTCGTATTTCATCTTTCACCAAGTTCAATATTTCATCGAAACACTCTGGAGTCATTCTAAAATATACGTAAAAGCGCTGTTCATCCAGCCGAAGTTGTGGCATCAAGGTATGGTATTCCCCAAATTTATTTCGTTCCAAGTTAATATCATGTACCCACTTCCTTCGTTTCCTAAACAAAATTGAAAATATTTGTTTTATGTACTTCGTTAAACTTAATACATACCCAACTATCAAATGGCGTTAAATAAACATAACTTACCGTGCGAATAAGACGCTTTGGTATGAATAAACAGGCGAAACAGATTGCGAATTTCGCTCTGAATTTCGTTGCGAATACTTCGCCGCGATTATTTCGCGCCGGTTTGTGGGATGCTTTAAGCAAATATATCATATTTCTGTTTATATTATGATATTTGTGACTTATTATGTTCAACAGGTGCTTAGTATCACTGAGATCGGCAGCTTCTTAATAATAGGAGATCTTTCACTGACACCCAATATGCAACAATTTATCTCTGAAACATTGTAGCAATGTTGCAGCGATTTTTTTTCCACCGCCTCGGAATCTGTTTTCAAAATCTACGACTACCGAAACGATGGAATTATTAAACTCGCGAACTTCGGTTCACATGTTTTCTGAGGCTTAAAGATGTCTACATCACACATGTTCCCATTTGTGTCGTTTTGTCAGTCTGTGTCTGTTGTATACCAGTGCGTCATTAGTAGTGACGCAATCTACTTGACGGAGTAACACAAATCAAAGGTTAGACGAAATCTAAGAATCATAAAATTTAGAAAAATATACGTGTAGATATGAAAATTTTATATATAAAATGTATGTGTGCTTACCTTACAAAGCTTTTTCATCATTAGCATCGTAGTAACCTTGTATGAAAATTTAATCAAAATCCGGGTGGTACTTATTAAGTTTTGGGCTGTTATAAAATTAGCGGGCACACCGACAGACCGATAGACATGGATTTCCAACATGTATATAAATCCGAACACCCAGTTTAAATGGTTTGATTTTAATAAAATTTTGTATAAATACTTAATGAAGCATAATAAGTAAATGATAAAAAATTCAAAATGATTGCACTGCTTTAAAGCCCTTTGACCTTTAATAATGTGTAGATGCACCCTGATGTGCTACGCATTCTCCAACGCGCCTAGGCATGCTTCTGATCAGGTGGTCAATGTCCTCCTGTGGTATCTCATTCCAGGCAACCACCAACTCCTCTCGAAGTGCTTCTAGAGTCTGAGGAGGACGTTGCAAGTTGAGCAATCTCCTACCCATCATATCCCACACGTGCTCAATTTTGGATAAGTCGGGAGATCTTGATGGCCATGGTAACAATGTGACATCATTATGTTGAAAGAAGTCTATTGTGACTCTTGCAACATGTGATCGGGCATTACCTTGTTGGAAAGTTGGATCTGCCAGGGTGTCAAGATAGGGTAAAAGATGGGGTTCTAGAACTTCGTGGATATAACGCTGCGCGTTCATGTTACCTCTGATGAAGATTAAAAGTGACCTGGAACCATAACCTATAGCACCCCAAACCATAACTCCAACAGTGTGATGAACATGTCTTTCAACAAAAAACTGTGGATTCCTCCTTTCACCACGTCGCCTTCTAACCCTGGCACGACCATCGTGCATGCCTAAACAAAATCGAGACTCGTCACTAAAGACAATACTGTTCCATTCCTGATCCAGAGTGACCGTTGTCTGCACCACTCAAGGCGATTACGTCGGTGTTCTCGAGTTAAAGGGAGGACCCAGTGTGGCCGGTATGAAAACAAGCCAAAACTTCTCATTGGTCGGTAAACACTTCGCATGCCAATAGGTCTTCCGTGTTCTGCAAACCATTCATTTGCAGTGGACCTGGTAGTGGAGAAACGGTCCCTTAAGGCCAATAATCTTAGGCGGCGATCTTCACGGTCTGTTGTTCTACGGCGGCGTCCAGTGCCCCTTGCTCTTTGCGTACGGCATTCTCGAAGCCATGCCTGACAACACCTAACCACAGTGTCTACACTTCTTTGCACTCTAACTGCAATTGCCCGAAAAGAAAGTCCAGCTTCCCGAAGTCCCACTATACGGCCCCTATCAAACTCACTAAGTTGACGAAATCGTACAGGTCTCCGTACTCTAGGTATCGTAACCGATCGTAAAGGATGTCAAGAACCAAAATCCGCCAACGTTGATTCTTTAATGCGGCTGAAATATTCATTTTCAGAGCGTTAGTGAATTAAAAAAAAGCAGTATAAAATCGGAATGTCCAACTGATAAGGCTGAACATTTTTTCACTTGTTATTTACAGTAAGATAAATACATTCACCAACTTTTATTAAAATAAAACCATTTAAACTGGGTGTTCGGATTTATATGTCACTTAGTATACATGTCATATAACATCCAAAAAAACTTCAAAAGCTTCAAGATTCAAATGCTTTTTTGTTTACACCCTAGGCAATCAGACAATAAAGAATGAAAAACAAATTTGGATGGATTCTCAAAAGTTTGATAGCATTCACTGGATCGATTTTTTATTTTTATTTTTTTAATAACTCTGCCGCCATTTTCAAACCTCCTTACCGAGAATTGGATCGGTGCTGCTGTTTCTGTGATTACACTGGTACAAACAGGCAAATAAACAGACCGAATAACAGACAGATCAGGTTAACTGAAATACTTCTATCTATTCCGCGTTACTTTAAAAACATGTTTCGGGAATTATGAGCCAAAGACAAGAACATTTTTGAGTAAAGTAGCTTTACAGAATGGTTTTAGACTTTCAAAGAAAATACAGAAAAACGTCTTCTCTCTTTGAAAATGTGTCCTCAACTTGTTTCTAATTGAAAAACAGGTCGCTGAGCTTGTAACGATGTATCTTAAGGATCTAAATGGTAAAGAAATATGTGGCGAAGCAAGGTAGGGGAGACCGGGGCTGGTTGTCACATGGGTTGGTTGTCACAATTGTTAAATCTCAACAGCTCCGCAAGATGCAGTTGCATGGCGCGCTACACATCGTTTCCGCGTCCGCGCAGGACACTTGTATTCAGTACGAAAGTTGTCGTTGGTAGATTAAGGCCGCACGCACAAAAATAAACAAATCGCCTAACCTGAGTAAATTTCTCGTTTGCCACATAATTTGTGTTTTCAAGACTACATTTGATAATAAAAAGAACTGTTGAATTTATTTTGCTCTTCAATAATCCGATTACGACTTAACGTAAGTATTGACTTTGAATTTGTTAACTTAGTGACGCTATCTAACCTTAAAAATTAATTATCTAGTGGTGCAGGTTGTCTCAAATTAGCGGAGGCCTCTTGTCACATGTGACAACCAGCCCCCACACTAGATGATTAGCTTTGCACATCATTCTACGTAGGTATATGAATAGAATGTATTTTTTTAATATTCTCTGGTTACATAAGCATGGTTCGAAATTTCAAAAGGAAGACCGAGAAGGGCAAAGCGCCGCCTGACGTACCTTTAAGAGCTGCTAGGTTAGTGAGGTTAGGATCCTCAATAAGAAAAGTGGCAGCTGACTTCAATGTAAATTACAGTACTTCAGCAAGATACTGTAAGAAAATTCCAGAGTCTGAATTACTTGATGATCGAGTTGTTGCGCCGTCAATTTCAGTTGGCTACATCAAAAATCATTTAGTATTTGAGCCTGAACTTGAAAATCATCTAGTGGAATATGTA